TAACAAAGCGGCGAGCCAGACACATCATTACCTACCAATTAGGCCCCGAAAAGTGTGTGCGTCTGTGTGGCGCAGGGTTTGAGTTGGGGAGCGGAGCCAAAAGGAGGCGAGGAGCAGTGGGGGGAAAGGGAAAGGAGGAAGGTAGAATGGAAGCAGGCACGAAGGCCCAGAGCTCGGGGTTCGTGGATGCGGATGCGAGGCTGCGAGGCTGCTCTTCTGCTGGAACCATAAACGTTTACAACGTTGCGAACGAGCTGGGTTGCTCTTCGGATCTTGGGATCGGCAGAAGGCGGGGGATGGGGAAAGGGGATGGAGGAAGGGGGGCTGCAAAGTGACTGACAGGCAGCAAATAAGCCATAAATGCTGGAGTGGATGCCTCCGAAGGAAGGACGGAGGCTACCTGGCGATGATGAAGTGCAAACTGCCTGCTAACTGCTTGTAATGAGCTCCGAAAGTGTTGCAAGAATCCAGGCAAGTTGGGGAGGGGAATAATCCCGGGAGTTTCCACTCCTTCAAAGGGCAAGCCACCCAGCTTCCAGCAGTTAATGTCGAGCACACCGCACTGACTCGGCAAATCCGTCGCCGGGGCTTCAAATCGATTTATGCGCTCCGATTGCTGATTGAATTTCGCACTGGATTTGTACAAATAAGCAGGCAAACAGCCAACAGCCAACAGCCAGCAATCAGGAACCATCAACATCGATGACGAGGGTCATTCGTGCGTGAGTTTGGCATTCGAAGAACGGCCAGCAGCCAGCAGCCAACAGCCAAATGCAAACAGCCGTGAGAGTGGGAAAGTAGCAGGGGGTGGCGGATAGAAGGGGTTAATGGAAAGCCAAGTCAAACTCGGATGACAAGGCGGAGAAAAGGAACTCACGAGCTGACACGCAGCTAATTGATTGACAGACGCGTCCTCGATGGAAGGGACTTCTGATTGACGAACTAAATCGATTTTGCTGGCTAGAAGTTAGAAATATACTAAGCAATAGTATATAGATTTATAATACTTAAAAGGGAATGATCCCTAAGGATGAATATCCTTAACTGCGGGTCAAGTCGAAAGCTTTTTTCCTCAAGCGAAATCCAAATTTCGTTCTTCCTTCAGGAACCCCTACTTTTCAAACAAGAATGATGAAGAGCTATATAATGCCATCCATATACATAAAAAAATTACAGCATAAATCACACACGCTCACACACACACTCGCAGTAGCAGTCACAGTCACACACGCACATTTACGAGGCACTCACACACGAGCATACAAATTTCGGTTGTTGTATTAAAAAATAATATCGTCGTCTGGTCGACGAAGATAAGAAAATTTATCCAAAGGATTGCGTTTGGTGTTATGGCCACCGCAAAAAGTGAGGCCAACCCTCGGGTCCTCCTCCTGCCCCCCACCTTCCTCCCCCCTCCTCCGCCTCCTTTGTCTGCGCAACCGCAAGGACAAGGCAGAAAGGACTCTCCTCCTTCGACTTGGAGCTGGGAGCTGGGAGCGAGCATTTTATGACCAAAGCCCCAAGTCGAACTCATCATCATCATCATCTCAGTCGGAGGACCACGGGTCAGAAGGGGATTTAGGCGGCAGGAGCAGGACCACCAGCTGCGATCTGTGGCCGGCGATAAGGCGGGAATACATTTCATAAATGCCGCGCCGCAAAAAGGATTACGATTACTGCCACACACGAAAAATGTCCTGCCTGAAAATCAGGAGAACAATAAAGTGCTATAAATGGTATTGAGTAAACAAGGAATATTTTAAACTTCTGTTAGGACTTCTGGGGAAAACTCTACACATAGTTTTCAAAACGAAACCCCTCAAGGAATAACTTTTTCTCGCAGTGTGTTCATTCTTCCCTGGCAATATTTCAACGTTTCCTCGCTGGTAATTTATTGTTAAAATAGTATAAAATGTGTTTGGCCCCCGAAATCACTGCACCCCGACTTTATGGATCGGAAAAGAGTAAATCGACAAAAGATGAAGGCAGCGAAGTGCTGTTCCAGTGCTTTATATTCCCAATCATAAATCCAGGCAATAGTGGGCCCCAACCTGTGCGATTCCCTGTTTTATGGTGCACTTACACCAGCCCACATGGCGTATGCTTGATATTTTTCGCCAAGGATAAGGACGGGGTCTCAACAAATGGGGGCAAGGGTAAGGGCCGTGAGTTGATGGAGCGCAGGCGATAAAGTCGAGCGCCGTGTAATGGTTTTTTTTCTTTTTCGATTACCGCCGCCGTCGATGTTGTTGTTGTTGCACTCGCCTTTGGCCCGCAGCAATTGCAGTGCGTCCCGCATGAACATGAACCCCCGAAAAAACGCAGATATATAAACTTTTACCCCCCATCCGATCCCTTCCCTTTCCCTCTAAGCTGAACCTTGTCAAATGATTAATTACATGCCGAAAAGCTATCTAACAATTTGACTCGCTGTCTGTGTGTGGCTCGCTTGGCTCCGTTCGCTTCGGTTCGGTTTGGTTTGGTTTGGTTTGGCCGGATTGTCATTAAGCCAGCAGCACGGCCACAGAGGGAGACATAATAAAAAATTATGCCATAGATAAAATGCCATTAGAGCGGATTGGGGTGGGCTGCGCGGGGGTCGCCACTTAGCGCCATTAGAAGGCAGCCAACAGCCAACAGCCAACAACCAACAGCAGACAACAGGGAACTCGGATCAGAGGAGCAGGGAAGCGGGAAAGCGGGGAGCAGAGGAGGGAAAACAGAAAACGGGAGGAGCAGCCAACCAAAAAGCCAGGCCAAAAGGGGAGGGCCGGGCTGCAAGTATGCAATTCTGCAAGATAAGCCGAAGCATTCATGAATTTCGTAGATAAAAAGCCAGCACACACACACAGCCGCTCACAGAGATACAAGCACACACATACACACACACACACACGCACACACAGGGAGACAGGAGATGCGCTTACAGTACATTGCACAGGAGCAACAACAAATGAAGAGCACCGAAAGTGAGCAACGTCATCATCACCATCGCCAGATACACCATGTACACCAGAATCACCAGCAAGTGAAGTGGGAAAATCAAGGAGGGAGTGGAGGGGGAGGCGAAGGGGCGGAGGGGTAGCCAAACAGCAGCAGAAGCCACCGCAAACAAACAAACAAACAAACATCAAGGGGCGGACCCAGAAAAACCTACAAGATAGGAGAGCGACTTTAGTTGGAAGATAGAATACCCTGCGAAGAAGATGCTTCTTAAAGAATAGATAGAACAACTATTTGTTGTAGCAAGTGAGAAATATTGAATATATTTTAGAAGAAAGTATAAGGTGGTGATTTTGCGGATTCACTTATATTACCCATCAATGTAACCCCTGCTATCCAAATCTTAATAATTTCAATAAAATTTAAAACTATCTTCAGCTTGAAATACCCAAGGAGAAGGCCCTAATTCAATCTCGCTGGCAAGGAAGGCAATGCAAGTGTGGCAATCTTTGGCCAAAAAATTGGGGGACAGTGGGCCAAGGAATGCCACACACTCTGCCCCTCCTCCTCCTTGCCGGCTGACTGGCCTCGGCTCCTCGGTCGCTTGGCGTCGCCATGGAGTGTCAACAGCCAGATAAAGATTAGCCCAGACAAACGCCCACTTTTTAGGCGAACTGTTACGCCCACTGGCCACTCGACCGCCCCCTTTTCCCCCGCTTCCACTTCCATCTGGATTTTGTGGCCCTGGGTCTGTGTGTGCTCTGGAAATCTTTCACTGACGCAGCACAAAAACGGCCACGTGGAAGGGCTGAGATTTGAAGAGGGAACCAGGAGGAGAAGGAAGAGGAGGAGGATGGGTTGCCCTGCTCCAATTGCCGCCGGTTTCGGGGGATTATTAATGATGAATGCCCGAGATGGCAGCGAAATGGTCCGGAATGTCGGGCCAAAAGGAGCAGGAGCGGAGTTGAGGTTTGGGATTACGGATTAGACCAGCCAATGTGTTCTGGGATGATCTGAAAATTCATCGTTTCAAAAGGATATTGAATCGTTTAAAGTTTATTTAAACTGATTTAATTATCTATTAGATACCATAATAAACTTTTATTAAGTGGAATATAAATTATTTGGATTAAATGAAATTCCGAGGCGAGAGTATCCATGTAAATACACTCCAATAAAGTGGCATGAACTTTACGATAATCCTGGGGGTTTATGGCCGTCCTTTATCTACTGAAAACATTCTATTCCCCGCGCTGAGCCGCCACTCCGCTCCTGGGAAACTCGAAGGGGTTGGGGGCGGGGGTCAGAGACATCGTCTCAATGACGTTGACATTGCTGATGATTATGAAGTGATACGAAATTGATGCCAATGATGTCGGAGTGAAGTCAAATTTCCACCCGAGGGGAGGGCTGCCCAAGGGGTTACTAACCAAGGGGTTGGTAGGGGTGGAAAGGGGGGAAATAGACGCCGAGTGCGAGCGAGAGACAACTTGACCCGTTGTCATTTCCTGCAGTCCGTCGAAGCGACTGAAACGAGGGTTGTGGCCACCCCTTTTCCCCGAAAGTCGAAAGGGTTTAAAGGTCTGAGGTGTCAAAATCACAAAAACCGCAGGCGAGGAGGGGGAGGGGGAGGGGAGGAATTGGGAACAGTGCCACTGCACTGATAAAAATTGTATTAAATTAGAGGGCTCTCGTCTTCATCTTTTTTCGGATTAAATTTTTATTGGCAGAATATCAGCAGCCAGCAGCGAAGTTGCGGGACGGGAAATTCCACAGGGTCCACACACATCGGGAATTTATTATTGGGCATTAACGGGTTATGTCTGTCAGAGCGAGACGGCAGCAGATAGAGCGGGACGGGGACAGTCGCCTGCTTCCTGCAGTCGCCCAGATAAGAATTTATTTTTGGCTTTGGCCCATTTCGCCTAAGCTGCGAACTTATCGCGGATGAGCGGCGGACAAAAGGACAACGGACAACGAACAACGGACAGACGACAGGATGTAGCCTACTTTGAGGAGGATATTTCCATCCGAACGGGGATTTGGAGTCAGCTTACCTCTGCTGTCGACGGTCATCTCTTCTGTGGTATCGGAACAATCACCTGCAAGAGATACAGATTTGTTTAGTTAAGATACAAGTAGTGGCCAGCGAGTGTTTTGTGTGCTAACTCAATAGCTTACCAAAACACACGAGCGAGTGTCTGGGCTTCACGGACGTTTCCCGCCCAGAGGTCTCAACTAATAGTTGCAGATATATATCGCAGATAGTTCCAGCCAAATGGCCTTACTGCGAAAGCGATAATAATTGCTGCGAGGGCCGCATTGTTTGCTTTTGTCCACCCATTCCCTGTTGCCCAGTATCTCTGTATCTCTTCTGCCGGCCAAGTTGGCCAGCAGTACTCACATCCACTACGCACAGTAGTTGCTGGCGAGGCCGGTGTCCCAGCCTTCACTCCACTCGATAGCTCCACTGTACCCCGTTCCCCGTTCCCCCTCCCCTTTTGGTAGTCTTCAAAAGAGATACAGTGCCCCCTCCACACATCGCACTCCTCGCTTTGTGTTGTTTTTCCCATTTTTGATTATATTTCGCTGATTATTCACTTCAAGGAATTATAATAACAATAATAACAACAATCCGCAGAATTCCTCCTTTTTATTTCAGCCCCGTCCGTCGTCTTCCTCTGCTTCGCTCGCCGCAGATCGCAGATAGCGCCGCACACACAGATACTCGGACTCACAGATGCAGATACATGTGAGCCGGCCGAGCTGAGGCCGTGGAATGAATGTGAAGCCATACAGCGCAGATAGGCGACTGATAAGCAGCAGCAACCGAAAGCCGAAGCCGAAGCCAAAGCTGCTGCCATGGACGCGAATCGCGGACTTGGACTTGGACTACAGTGCCGGACATGTCGGACAGGCGGTCCTCCCCTCCCCACTCCCCTTTTAGCCAATGTCCAAGGGCTGGCTTCGACGGCAATTGGCGGGATTTTCCCTCTTGCCTCGCACACCCACACACATGACTTGCAGGTTGTCATCGGGGGTTCAGGGTTCAGGGAATTGGGCGCGAAAAGCCTACATTGGCAATACCATTTCAAGTTCTTTGGTTCTTAATATAACTAAATGAATAAACAACAAATGAATAATTTTAGTTTAATCTGGGCTTCAAAATTCCCAGTTGTTCTCAGAATATAAACATCGTAATAGAGTATTATCATTTTCTTGGAAATGATGAATATGTTACATCTCAGCCAGATAAGTCCAGCCTGGATATCTTGACGTTCCTAACAAGTGAAACTAGTTTTGTTGGCAGATGTGTAATCAACCTTTAATCGTTTCTGTAACTGAAACTTTTTAATTGTCGAATAGAAAAGGTCCGTATTATCCTCGTTTGAACAGATAGTAACTAGAGTTTCTTTCAATCATTACTCATAAGCCCTCTTAAACTTCATTGAAAAGCCTTCTTCGACGTATCTCACCTCTGGAATTGCTGCTGAGCATTGTTCTCTGGTTCGTATATGGTAATCCACTTGTGGTAATCCGGGCTTAGTTGGGCTCTTCACCTTCTCACTCGCACATGTTTTGGCTCTTCAGTTTTGGCCAGACTTCGGCGCAATTATGTTGTCACTGCACGTGGGAACTCACTTTGACTCACTTTGAATCACTTTGCTGCAATTATTCAAATTTTCGCTGACGAACGTTCAGCGGCGAATCGCTTTCGAATGTTTCCCTCGAACCGCTGGGAGTCGGGTATCGGGTATCGGGTGTCGGGTATCGGGTATCGAGAACTGAGTACCGCGTACCGCTCGTGCTTGCTGCCTGCTCCGCGTTCCACGGCAAACTGAGACTCGGAGCGACCGGCTGGGGCGGTGAGTAATGAAATTCGTGCGCGCTGAGAGATACAGATACAACCGATACGGATACCGAGCGAACCGAGCGGCGATGCGATGCGATGACGACGCAGCACAGCTGATGTTTGTTGATGCCGGGATGCCGGGCAAGTTGTTTATCTTTGCCTCTTGGCTGGAACTCGTACTCGTACTCGCACTCGAATTGGGATTCGGATTCGGTTTGGGATTCGGTTTTGGATTCGTATCTCTCTCTCGTCGCTCCGCCGCCGCCGCCGCTGCCGCCAACTGAAATAAGATATCGCGGCCCGGAGACCCCGAGACCGAGGCTCTCTGCTGCGGTCGACTTCCTTCGCTCGCCTCGGAATTATTCGAAACAAAACTGATAAAGCACTGATAAGAAGCGCAGCGCGGCGAGCTCTGCGCTTAGATAACATCGCAGGCAGAGCCAAAAGCAAAAGCGGAGGCAGAGGCAGAACCAGAAACAGAAACAGAACCAAACTGAGCTGAAAACTCAAAACAGAAAACAGAAAAGCAGCCAACCAGCCAGCCAGCCAGCCAACCAACCAGCGGCGAACGGATACACAAACACTGAAATACTGAACTGCAGATACGGATACAACCCAGCGGGAAAGTGGGAAGTAGGTTTTTTTGTCCTGAAAAAACCAGTGGAAAACCTACTGCTTTTGGCAGGCGTAGGGGTAGGGATAGATGAAAACCTACTTCTTTTGGCAGGCGTTGGGACCGCTAAATGGGGTGGGTTTCTGAATATGACCATAAGTTACAACGAAGTTGTGACTAATTATTGTCTTTCTTCAGAATATGCACGGTCACATCAGTATAAAATGTCGTGCAAAATGTGTCAAAAGTGAAAAAAAGTTAAGTTTATTCTAAAAAACAAGATAAAGGTAAGTTATAACATAAATATTTTTGTTTGTATATCCTTATTTCAGCGTTACGGATATGGTGAACATAAGCATTTTTACGAAAACTAAATATTAGCCGCCAGAGGCGGTTGTCAAGTAAGTAAGTAAGTTTTTTATTTAAATTTATTTTTCAATTTCACAAGAACAAACAAATGTTTATTTTCATAAAATTTGTAATAGATTCGACATCACAGATTCTGGCCCATATGTCAATATTAATGGCAAATCTGAACGTGCGCAAGCGGGGATTTCCGATTTCATTATTTGAAGAACTCGGCCATTTGGACTCCGATGCCGCAGCCAATCCAGAAGCATTTGTAAGTACAGTCCTGTGTCCCCATGCTTTTTACTATGTTTATTACTTATTTTTCTAAATTTCTCTATTTTTTCCATTACTTTTTATATATTTATTATTTGTATTAATATGTAATATATTAATGTATTATGGTTTTTATTTTCAGAGTCACTCAGAAACGACATATCAAGATGATCTGCGTTCACCGTTCACTAAGGCAAAAAATAAAACATACAACAATACTTTTGTCATAAAGCCCTTGGACTGTAAATAGATTAATAAATGCATATACCAATTTAAAAAGTATTCTTTTTTATTGCTGTTTTGCATGTGGAAATTCTGAAAAGCGGGAAGGCCAAAAACCAGTGGATTTTGTCCTGCGTTAGGCAGCAGGATTTCCACTGGTTTTTTCAGTACAAAAACCAGTGGATTTCCACTGGTTTTTTCAGGACAAAAACCAGTGGATTTTGCCCTGCTTTCGGCAGCTGTAGATCCAGTGGATTTTGTCCTGCTTTGAGCAGCTGTAGATCCACTGGAAAACCTCCTCTACCCCTGCCTTTTGTGTGTCACCCCCGTGTATTTGGCAAGGAGAGAAGGCAGAAAAGGAGGGGGTAGAGGAGGTTTTCCACACATTTCTTGTATGAAGAAAGCAGAGGAAAGAAGCATATTTTCCACAGGTTTTTTCCCGCTGGGAAAGATACATTCGGAGAGGGTGTGTGCGAGTGTGTGCTGGTGTGTTTGTGCGCGAGGGAGATGCTTTTCAGCGATATCGCGTCTACGGCTAATGGAATTCTGATTATTGCTTAGTGATAAGCGTTTTGTGTTTAATTGTATCTCTGTATCTGTATCTGAATGCACTGAGAGAAATGGGTGGCCAAAGCAGAGGGCATGGTGACTTTAGATATTTAAAATAGTATGATAACTTTCAAGTTGGTTAAATGTTAAATACATATCCGATTTTTCAGAGTTTTTATTTCGGATACTGGGAATCAACATGTTTGCTTTTCCCAAGTTGAAGTGAGTCATCTGTCGTACAGTGTGATCTCGCCGTTGGTTATCATTCACCTGCTCCGGCCGCAGCCACATCCACAGCCACTTCCACTTGGCCAGTTCTATCTGCATCTCCATCAACTCTCCATCATCATTCTGCAGCTTTTGGCTCTCGGGGCTTTTGTTCAGCTTTTTCTCGGCTTTCCTTGCGCGCTTATCGCCCGACGCAGATCTATTTTTATGTTGCCTCCGCTACTCTTTTCCCGGTCTTCCCCGGCTTCCCGGCACTCCCCATCTACGCGTACATCTCGGGCGACCTCCGCCTCTGATTCTTATCGGCGTTTGGTTTATTTCCATTTCCCTGGCAACTTTGCAGATGCAAAAAAACGTTTTCTTCTTTCCCAGCGATAACAATCGCCCGGTTTCCCACTCGCTCTCTCGCTCTTCAGCTCATTTCGCTCTCCGGAATCAGCTGTTGCCAGTTGCCAGCATGTTGCGCATGCGTCGTGGCCCAGCGCTAAAGTCGGATATATGGAGCTATATCCGACCCACCACCTTCCCCTGCCGACTTCCCTGTTGTCTGCTGGTTGCCTTTGCGACGATTATCTCGTTTGCCATTGTTGACTTTTAATTAGATTCATTAAACGTGCCGCTTGCCGCCAGCTCCCTTGCAACCCCCTTCGGCTAACCCCTGAGTCCAGGGTTTTCGGCACGACTTTGAGATACCCTAGATACCCATGAGATACCTCAGTTCAGGGACGCATAACTTTAGATCAACGTGAGCCAAAAAATAACAATTGTTATGTCTTTTTATTACATACTCGACCTAGCTTTAAAAATGAGTAATTTCAGCAGTGCATTCTATAATAGTTTTCCTTTTATTATACAAGTATCGTTATTATCATTAAGATATATAAATATTTATAAAACTACAGGGTATTCATTGCTCGCTACTTAATTGTGAACCAACTTTGGTCTTTCTTGCCTGCTTATGTGTTAGAATATATTCTCCACAGTTTGTGGGTGTTTACTTTTTGTGTTTTGTGCTTCGAGCTTATGCAGCGATAAACACTTCATGCGTGAATATCAGCAAAAGGTTGATAAATGCGCCCGCTGCGGTTGTTTCGCGTTGTTGTTCTGCGTTGTTGCTGCTGGTTGTTGTCGGTTTTCGGTTTTTGGTTTTCGGTTGTTGTTGTTGGGGTGATGAACTGCCAACACCCGCCCCTCCCCTTCCCCCTCCCTCCAACCATCTCTTTCTGACTCTGGCAGAAGCAATTGTTTTGCAATTATGTTGCTACAAGTCGGTACACTCGTTGTTTGTATGTCTGTGTTGTTACGTGCTCATTTATTGACATAAATATGAACAAATGCGACAGATCAACGTCTGCTGATTGCACTACATCGAAAAAGCGTTTTCAAGAAAATACGCTAAAAATACGGGGCAACAACAACAGCAGAGCAGCAGCAACTATTAAAGTAAAAAACTACACTGATAAAAACGAAACATTAATCAAACATAAATGGTTTTTTAAATTTCGTAATAAAAACAAACTAATCCTGCTTGGAGCCCGCCATTTGTTTCAGTGTTGCCTCCTATTCCGAATGACGCAGCACTTGGAGGCACACCCCCGCTTCCCTGCCATCCCTCCCCCACCCCCCTGACCTGGATGCCCCTCCCCCTCCTCCCCCTCATCCTCCACTGAACGAAAAAACTCCGCTGAGAGCGCAGATGGAAGTGAGTTGATAAGAGATCCTCACGCTGATAAAAAGCAAAGGCAGCGAGCAAACTCACAGTTGTTGCTTATTTTGGGGTTATTTCTACTTCTACTCTGCGGTGCCGCACTGTTGCCGTCTCCCTCTAGCTGCGTATCTCCATCTCTTTCGCCGTTCGTCGCTTTATTTCATTTCGTTCGCTTTTCGGGTAGATGCATCGTTAAGATTAGCACAGCCAGCATTTGTTGTTGTTGTGAAAAAAACATTTATCACGAAATAAATCTACTTAAGTTTTGTTTTTTGTCTGCGTTTTTTCCCTCTCCCTCTCCAACCGCAGCTCCCTCTCTCTTCTTCAGGCCACAACTTCTGCACAGAAAAATAATACTTACTAATTGAAGCTTTCGTCTCGAAAAGTGCGATTGACCTTCAGCTTACACTCATCGAAAACCTTTGAAAATTTCTTGATTTAATTTCAAACGAAGTACATTAGCCGAATTCAAGCAATCGAGAACCACTCGCAAATTGTTTTTTCCTGTGTAAAAATAGTTGCCATTGTAACTCGAGACTCGCACATTACAATATAGCGGAAAAGAGGTAGGGGATCGCTATTATATAATCAATGGAGTTGCTTAACTCATTTCCACCGAAAACCCCAAAAATTGTTCAACCTTGAGTTGGCTCAGTCTTTCTCCCTCTCTCTGTCCCTCTCGCTCTCTCCCCCTCATGGCTGTCTCTTTCGCACACAGCAGGTGCTGAGCTGCTGACAGTTTCGCTTTCCATTTCCTTGGCACTTTTAATTCACCCTTGGAGCCTGCATATTTATGAAGTCTGGCAGATAAGCGATGACTTCATTGTAGCGAAATTAAATCAATTAACATAAGCCAAGGTGCGAGCCGCACCACCGACCTCGGAGCCACCCTGCACCACCCAACCCACCCGAGCCAGCACCCTGTGCACTTATCTCCGTCTGCCACCTTGCCCCTCCCCTTTCTCTGTTCGCCTCTTTCTGTTTCCCTTTGGAGCTAATCTAGCAATCAATCAAAGTGATTTAAATTTCATACCGCGTATCTGCACCACCACCACCGCAATCCAAATTGTGGCTGAGGCGGAGCTCGAGGTTCGAAATACAATTCTGGAAATCACGATTAAGAACTCAACCGAAAGCCAGACAGAAGTTTGAGTTATTATCGCTGGAAACCAGACGAGGAGGCAAGAAGCAGGCGGAGTAGAAGGAGCAGTGGGCGACTTGGGTTACAAATGGAATCTGTCATAATAGATTCACACGATAAGCTCATTCACCCTTTTCATAGAGGCTTTAGGAACTTTCAGAACAGATAGAAGGGATTTAAAGTAATTTATTGCCTATTTTTAAAACCAGCACTTAGTGGTATAATATTTAGAAGAAGACAAGCTATGAATATTTTCCAGTTTGATTTCAAATCATCAATCTATCTACCTGCATGTGACTCACTTATCCGCAGGAGATCATCAATCTTTTATAGCCGCATAGCAGCTCCTTTACTTCCCAGTGACCGATCTGCATCTGCAGGAGTTTGTGTTTGTGCCCGTGA